ATAGGGATGTTATGACCTAGGTAGCTTAGTTTTTCTTAGTTTGGTTATATCGTAATGCTCAATAGAAACATTAGGCACCAAAAAAACTATATAATAAAATTAGCCTATTGGTTATATCTTAGTATCATTACTAAAGTTAGCCTATGATACTATCTTGAACTTATTCTCTAGTTCGCCTATGGTTTGGGTTTGGTTAGCATGACAAAATATGTGTACTAAAGATCTATAGGCTAGGTAGAGTACTTATCCTTAAGTCCAAGATATGGGAGGGTGGCCTTAGGTTAAGCTTAATTCTAGGGGTTAACTCGTTAAATTTATTAACGGTTCATCCATTGGATGGTACTTGTAAGCTTGATTGACTTTAAAAAGTGTATATATAAACTAGCTAGCCTTTTTAAGATGTTTGAGGGTTCAAAGTAGGTTCAAAATTATATATTAAGCAAAGTTTATCAAACATTTGATCATGGTCTACTTAAGACCTAAATGTTAGGTTCAACTTGGCGAGGTTAGATTTGCAAAAGGTTATCTTAATTTTTTTGGAAGAGCAAGATGTAAATCTATTCTAATATAAGTCATATGGAGTGATCTCATGGTATGTGAGATTTTAGATTTAATTAGGGTTAGGGTCTCAAGCTAGTGTCAAATTTAAGATTATTAATTCGGCCAGTTAGCCCATTTTATGAGTTTAATCATGTTGAAATTGAGCTTAAGTGGCTCAAAAACCTATAATATTTACTTAGAAGTATGTTCAATGAGGAGATGGTGGGCCTTAATTTGTTAGGACACTAGGGCTTTACACTTAAGGAAAAGAATTTTTAACACAACTAAGGTATATTATGGTAGAGTCTATCTTTTGTTTATAACAAACTAAGAGTTTGAGTCCTTACCTCTTACATAATTGACCTCCTCCAATGATGAGCTCCACTTCTCCAACCTCATTCATTCAACCATTAAACCAACCATCTTGTCACTTTTATTTAGCTAACTCCTCTCTATCATATCTCCTTGGTTATCATACTCCTAATTATTTGATCTCTTCCACCTAATCAACTCCTATTATTGATACATCCAATCACCTTATTGATTTTTGAACAAACTTCATATATTGATGCAAGATGGTTCTCCTTTTCTAAAAAAAACATTGTTCCATGTCATCACATAAAATTCATAGTATAAGTTAATATTTTGAGATAAGCTTTATTATGCTTATTTAATTGCTTGCAACATTGAGTGATCTAACAACCACAATTCCTTCCTTGTTCAAATATTTGAACGTTGGATTTCTATTTTAAACATCAAAGATAATATTATTTACAATAAGTAGTTAGTCTCTGCATAGGAGTCGATGGTTGGATAAAACTGTAATTTAAGCTCAAAATATATTGTCAAATTTCATCTCCAATACTCAACTATGAAAGATTTGAGAGGTATTAATATAAAAAATAAAGTCTATAAATATTAAATATGTAAATACATAAGAATTGAGTGGTATTTATGTAAATTCAAACAATTTTCTTATTTCTGAAATTACAGACGTGCACTCAAACAAAACTGTTTGGCTGTACTAATTACACTTATAACCTTTTACTGCAAATATCTTATTGCATTACCAAACAAACAAAAAACGTTCAATAACTTGTACTCTTAGAAATGCCGGTGCAGTGTCCTGCAGGTTCATCCCATGACCTAAAGGAATCCACTCAGCTCTCAAGGAAGCCGGTCATCCGGAGCACGGAGTTGCGCACGTGTCTGAGATCGCGGCCCTTGAGGGCGCGGCCGGGGCCGGAAGACAGCGAGAAAGCAACCGAGGCTGAGCTCCATCTGCGGGACACCAGAACGTGGGGCGGAACCATTTCTTCCGTCTCCGATTCCGATTCCGATTCCTCAAACGGTCGCCGGGCCACCGCCGGGGGTATGCTCACCGGCTCTGTTCTTTCTCTTCGCCGTGAGATTCCTGAGCGGCGGCGGTTGTCCGGTTCAACGGACCGCTTGATGGCGGTCCGGTGGCTCGCGTTCTCGTTTTCCGGCCACATCACATCTGACTCCGATAGCTCCGCCATTCTCGAATTAGTCGATCTCTGTAAATTTTGTTAGTTTTGGGGGATTGGAGCACCGGCGCGGAGGGAGGATTTTTATAGAGATTGGGGGGCACAAGATAGACAGGATGACGTACGAAACACAGTTTCTTGAACGCTTGGCGAGTCGCCACGTGTTGGGGTCCGGTTTTGGGAGATAAGCACTGGTTCGGTGTTTTTGCAGGAACATGCTTATAAAATATGAAATTTGCATCCGACGAAAGTTAATGAAATATGACCCATAATATTTAATTAAAATAATAATTTCAGATATTAGATATATAATTATGTATAAATTTTTATGAAAATTTTAATTTTTTTTTTAATGAAAATGCAACTTTATTGAATTTGCATATAATTGATTTCTAGGAAACGGTCAGTTAGCTTTTTGGAGAGGAAAAGGACACGTGGCGATAGGGAAATTAAGTTTGGATAAAAGCTGAGCTCAGCTTCCAGTCTGACAGACGCGATTGGGCTAATTATTTTATTTGGGGAATGCTTACGTAATGATAAATCTATGTGCTTATAAAATGGACATATTGTTTAGGTATATGTCCTAAGTTGAAAGGTGTTCTTATCTTTTTATATTGATGGAATTGCAATAACGCTTTTTGATTCTTATCATTCCAACCACATGAAGCCGTGCATTAAGTTAAAA